GCTCACTGAGAGCTGGGGTCACGCCCTAGGCGTGGTTCTGCTTTCTGCGCATTATTTTTGCCGACTTTGTTTCAGCCGACTAACCATTGAGCACCACTTAGGAAGTGCTGAGGCCTACCAGCCTGCACCACATCTGTAGGGGTATGTTTAGGAGGGATATACTGCATCACAAGAGATGCTCGCTGAGCGAAGTCAACGGCAGCTCTTGCAGGAGGATCGTCATATATTACAGGCTGCTGACCAGCTTTACAATGAGTGAGTCAAGTGCGATGGTGGAGCTGGTCGTACTAATGTAAAGCGTAGATTACACTGCTTCAACGGGATTTCCTGTAAACCACACGTAGTCTGAGACGTGCCATATCCCACGATGTGCAATGTTTGAAATCGCCGTGAGTGTCCAGCGCACTGACTACATTTCACCTGCACTTGCAGGCCACGAAGTAGAAGTCAATTCTTGTTTATTAAAAACAGTGTGCTGCTGAACTATTTCACGATGAAACCTGCGTTGCAGCTGCAGCACGATTTTCCGGTTGGGTGTAGGCCCTTTTTACGGCAAGCGCTATGGGCTTTCCCGAGGGCTGCTCGACTTGCTGTCATAAGGCAGGGTATCTATGTTGGCCTTGTTTCAGGACTACCTGTTGCATCATGTTCGAAACCCAATATGCACGAAGAACCTGCGATGGCCGTCTGGGATCGTACCTATGTTTGCGCGCTTATTGACGCTGCGTTATGCCTCCTCATATGCACCTTGAATCGTTACAGTTCCACATAATGAAGTTTGCTCTACGTTAGTGGGGAATTTTGTCAGCTTCTGGAAGCGCCACAATTTAAGCAAAAACTAGCAAAGCTGTAGGTAGCTGAACGCAAAAAAGTGAAGCAGTAAATGCAAGTCCGCTCTGTGTAAACGTTACCATGGTGGCCTGCGCCAATGGCTGGGGGAGAGGAGCAGGCGCTGCACCAGTAACGAAAGGGCTCCCCTAATTGTGCTCGGCGTTTGAGCGCTCAGCAAGCATAACAGTGCCACATCACACTCCTGTGCTTTCTTATGCACGCATTTAATAGCAGTTTGTGTTTTGTGTTCTAGAAGAAGTAGGCACGCCGAAACCGGTAACATTGACAAACTAGAAATGAATATCCACTACTTGACAGTGCCAATGAGCAGATGAGAAGTCTAAAAGTCTAATTCACATCAAAACTCAGTGAGAGCTGAACCCATGAGCTCGGCATGTTAAGATCATCGTTAAGTACGATTGCAGTGCCATTCGACAGACCCCTGATTTGTAGGGTCCAGAACTTTTTGTCGGTTCCAGCCGCCTGCCGTCATTGAGGCCTTTCACTGCAAAGGTGGACCAAACCAAAACGGTTCAGCGCTTTGTAAATTCAAAATGTAGACTCATATCCATGGAAGATATGCCTTATTATATCGCTGTGCCAAAAGGAAGGGCTAAAATTGCTATTTGCTATTTGCTGCGCGCACGTGTAAGCTCTGAGCACACAAGCTTTTGCATTCTCTCGGCAAAACATGCCTGCTCCGCATTTAGGTGAGAGCATGCCTATGTACCACGTCTTGAATTGTCTGTACTCAAGAGATATTTTCGCCTGATAATCTGCCCCCACTTACTGGAGTGCGGCATGTTCTGGCTGAGCCCGAAAAGCAAGCAGCGGCGATCAAGTTTGTTCACCTGAACAGCGGTAAAATGCACCTTTGCGTGCCAACACTTTCAACTGCTCTATTCGGGTGAATTTGCCAATAAAACAATATCATGGTGACTTAGTGGGCTGACGCGCCTCCACAGAAGCTGAGTGGATAAAAGAGCAGGAACACCACCAAAGCCAGCGTGGGTGAGCGTGGCTGCTGGCCTCTGTGCTCCCACAGTCTCCTAAGCAGCGCTAATACCATATGCCCTTTTCGCTGTGGAGAAATTTCTGCAAACGCCATGCCTTCCTTCAAAGGGGCAGTTGTGGAAAGCATCGACGAGTAGCGGCCCTTTTGGATCTCAGTTAGTAGCACCCTCATCTCCATGCATTGTGGGTCAGAAGTATCTCAAACACAGATTTTTGCCCTTCTCGCTGATACAGTACGCAGTAGTGGCTTTATTGAATTATTTTGACAGGGAGTGGAGCTGGCACACGACTGCCCCGCAGTATAGACGACAACGATGGCGGGGACAGAAGGCGGCGACGGCAGGGACGTTGAGCAGTGACTCTAATTCCGAAGTACCCTAGAGATATTTGCTGCTAGTGTTAGCCTTTTGGTGCTTAGTTTCTGTGTCGACACTGCTGTCAGCAACATTGTCGCCGACATCTGCAAAGCAGGCAATAGCGCCCAGCCGGTTACGGCATCTCCCATCAACTGCAGCGCATAAATGGAATCCCCCTACTTCCCGTGAACACCTTCAAGAATGCGGAACCTTTCAGAGAAAACAAGACGCAAGGTCACGTGAGCTGCCTTCTCTGGAAACTACCATGAGCGTAAAACTTGCCGAGGCTTCGAAGAAGCGCACAGCTACCTTAACTTTGGTCCTTAAAAATAACGATTTGCAGGCCTTTTGTATTGCTCTCCTCGCAGTTCGTAGAAGGAAGTAACTATATCGATTCAAAGGTCTTCTTGGCAATGCACCAGTGTGTCTCCCCAATCATTATGTTAGCTTTTCTCTCCGCACATTAGGAAAGAAGAGGGGCAGTGGTTCTTATTCTTTCAGGAGAGGAATGCCATGCAAACGGGGAAGTGGTCAAGTGGCCAAAAGCAATCTCATAGTACATTACTAGTTGTAGCACTGTTGAAATAAGAGAGATAAACGGCATCACGAATTTCCTTACTTCCACTTAGAGGAATGCTTACGAGGAGAAAAGCGGCAAACCGAACAGTTCAGCAAAATGAATATATCTAGTTAAATCCACTAAGATGCAAAACACAAAACAGAATGCAAAACTTCGAAGATGCAAGGTCAAATTCGCAGAAGCATGTCGGAAGAACCGAAAATGGTGGAGCTCACGGAGGGAGCAACGTCTTGCAGATCAATCTTGAAAGTCCCGAAAGACCGGTTTATTTTCAGCTCCGGCGTACCCAATTTGCATACAACTGAACTCGACGTCAGAGGGACCCCTATATGAAATCAGTAAGATATGCGCGGCCAGTAGCGAACTGAAGCGCAGGCGCAGCGCTATCTGCGGTGCTGCTCTGTCTTTTATCCGCTTGCAGACAACGATAGTCTGCGAAGATAATTATGCTCCAACTTTTTTGAGGCAATCACAGTTTATATTGAACTAAGGGTCGCCTTCCAGCTGCACCACGAGTAGGTGTCTAGTTGGCTGTCAGCGACCTCTTGTAGGCATCAGCCTGCTCAAAAGTACAGAAGGAGCTAGCTGAGCCCATAAGCAGAGGTAGTGAATAATGCTATTAGCCGTGATTGTTTTATCGCTAGAGACATATGCGATGGTGCTAAAGCTACTGCAACCATGCACCTCCACATGGATTTCAGCAGATGCCAGAAAAATTCAAAAAGGAGAGTGGCGGCCAGTTTGTTTGAAAGGAAGATTCGTTGGAGTTCAAAAGGATTGTATGCCTTCCTGTACTCGAGTTAAGTCAACATAGCTTACAATCCAGAGTGAGATATAGTGCAAGAGCCAGGATTTGAGAAATACGGCCAGAAGCAAACGTAGAACGCGCTAATGTGGGAATCCTGGGAAGAAATTAGCATATGATGTGCCTGAATAGCCTTTCCTTTAGAAAGTCCAAATCATGACTTCGGCTGCTGAGGGCTGCACTTGGAATGACACGGTAATGCAGGTTTGTGGGAAATGATACTCTCAACTCACTGTTGATGGTTTCGGCCACCACAGATATGCTTAACTGTCCACATAACTCCCCAGAAAAAATGATGCTGTCATAGTAACTTTGCCCTCAGAACACGTGCTCCAGAGATGACCACTGAGGTGCAAACTGATGGAACTAACCAGTCGGCTTGCCAATCAGGTATGTTTAGAAACATGTGGGTCCTTTTTCGTGAATTCTTCGTCGTGCACTCGTACTTCCACAAATTCTAGAGCACGCTACAAACTCGTGGCTGAGTGAAAGGGTTGACCACCAGACAGAGCTACGAAGGCGGATATGTGCACTTAGAGAGGCGTTCCACCTAGGGCTGCTCAGTGTCCACAGTTATGTTGAGCAACCGGGAGTCATGCCAACTGCACCGGGACTTCTTCTTGGACACGATTTGAACGAGAATGCGCCTTTACTACAAAGAGCACACTACTTCGTCAGACGAGTTTTAAAAGCCAAAATGTAGCCAGCTACTTTCCGTGAGGCCATTGCAATGGATTGCCTTTCTGTCCACCGGTGCAACCACTCCGGCTGTCTCATTATTCTGCATTAATTCTTTAGCAGTGAGATGGCACTGTCTACAGCGTCATCTGATGATGGTGATCAACTTCTACGATGTATTTAGGCAGCTCAGTAATCATGTACTATCTAGACATTTCCATATGTACGATACAAACTACTAGAATTGTTTGGTGCGAGATGTGTGTTAGGTGCATTTGGTGTCTCACCCCTGAAGAAGTGTCTTTTTCCACAAATAATGACACTTGCCTCATTTTATTGAGCAAAGACATTTGAATAGGTATATTTAACAACCAGGAATGTACGTGAAGGCACGTGAGGCCTACATGGCTGGAACAATGGACTGAGTGTCTTCGTAGCTGCTCGCGCATCGGCTTCCGGCGAAGCAGTCAACCTGTAACACCCTTATCCTGTACATTCAAAACAGTACTACTTTTTTGTTCGAAAAGGTGCACATGTTCTCCTCCTGGCAAACTTCTAACTTCAGGAAGTTCAGTTGTTCTTGCAGGGCCATTCCCCTGCGCCGTCTACTGTCTCTGCCTTTACAGGAGACAGTAACGTATGCATATTAAAACGAAACTACATTGCCGCTTTTTAATACCGAAATAGCACCCAAATACGGTGTTTTCTTGTTCGTGGGCAGTACCACACAAGGAAAATGTCTTCAGTTAAGGTGGCCGTGCGGGTTCGTCCATTCAACGACCGCGAGAAAAACATGAATGCGGTGCTCTGCATTTCTATGGAAGGAAAAAGCACCACAATAGAAAACAAAGATGATGCGAAAAACGCCACGAAGACTTTTGCTTTCGATTATTCATATTGGTCACACGATGGGTTCGAAGTGGACGACTCTGGTTACTGCAGACCAGTAACCACCAAGTACGCAGATCAACAAAGGGTTTACGAAGATGTGGGTAAAGACGTACTCAACAATTCGTTTGAAGGGTATAATGCGTGCCTATTTGCCTATGGTCAAACTGGATCAGGGAAGAGTTACTCTATGGTTGGGTACGGAGCTAATAAGGGTATTATCGTTCGAGCATGCGAAGAAATATTTCAACGTATACAGCAGAAAGCAGACCCCAGTCTCAGAGCCGAGGTTCTTGTAAGCATGCTGGAAATTTATAATGAGCAAGTGCAAGACCTGCTTCAGCCAATGGACAAAAGACCCAAGGGAGGACTGAAAATCAGGCACACTCCTCAGCTAGGCACATTTGTACAAGATCTCAGCAAGTGTCCAGTGGATTCATATGCAGCAATTCAGGCAAAATTAGATGAAGGTATTGTTTTATGATGCTTCCATCGGTTTGATGATTATAGGCTTTTACGTCAGCTAGTGACTGACTTAGTACCAAATTACAAGTGCTAATCATTTACTGACCAAGGAAAACGTAGTTATTCAATTCACTTTTCCCCATAGGCCTACAGTATGAAGAAAAACGCGCTGTCCTGCGCATGGGAGGCTCAGAGCTCGTGTGGCGCTTCCCGCAGGCACGGCCAACCGCACTGTTGGTGCTACTTTGATGAATGCCACTTCATCTCGTGCCCACACGGTCCTGCAGATATTTTTCCGCCAAGTTACTGTAGATCGTATGGTACACAAGAACAGTGCCCGTCCAACATTTAGCGCGAGCAATAGCCTTCTTTCTGCTCGTGAATCATGGCGTACGCTGAGCAGTGTGGATGCATCATGCTTGCGCTGGTAACCTTGTATGTTCAGCCGACTCGGGGGAGCCAGTTTCACAGAAGTGTTCAGAGATAAACCTCGTAGATTTAGCAGGTAGCGAAAGAGCTGGATCAACCGGTGCAACCGGAGACAGACTTAAGGAAGGATGCGCCATCAATCAAAGCCTCAGCGCCCTTGGCAACGTCATATCCGCTCTTGCAGATAAGGCTGCAGGGAAGCTGAAGCCAGGGCAGGTGATACATGGCACATCATCGAAACATCACGCGCCGCCGCGACGACTCAAAAGAAACACCACCTACATCCTACTCAGCTGCGCCTGTGTCTAAAGCACAGATGACATTTTCTGACTTAAAAAAGCAAATTTTCGTAGAAAAGGGGTGTTGCGTGTGATTGTAGGTCGTGCCATACAGGGATTCGGCGCTGACGCGCATTTTGCAAACAGCTTTGGGCGGGAACAGTAAAACTTGCATGATTGCTGCTCTCTCTCCAGCTTCTGTCAATTACGAAGAGACCCTCAGCACTCTTCGCTACGCAGGTGAAAAGACAAGCAACTCAACTGCATCCACACTGAAATAGGTGGCAAGCGCTCAGAAAAACACTTGTTCTCCTCCCCTTGAGCTGGCATATTTTCCTGCTTTTTTATGAATTTATGTAACGGCTTTAAACGCCTCAATAAAATGCAATGCAGTTGTAAGTGCAAGTCTTGCCATTTGCCGTGTTCATGATACCGTATCAAAATCTGCTTAATCCTGAAGCACAGGCAGTCGAAACCGATTCTTTTCTCATGGTCACGATGGCCTTCTGCAGCATGTGCAAACATCAAAAGAATTGACTGCTCAATGCTTACTTTCAGATAGAGTGAAACAAATAAAAAATGAGGCCGTGGTTAACGAAAATCCGCTAGAAAAGTTGATTCGCGAACTCAGAGAAGAAAATGAGCGACTCAAGAAGGTAATTTTTTTTCTGGCCATCGTTATAACGAGATAAAGAGCATCATTCACCAACACTGCTAATCATAGAAGCGTATATCAGTGGTAATTGCGCTTCCAATAGAACACAAGCATGCGTTTTGACACCATGAGGCCAATTTACAATGCGCGCCATCTGCCGGTTCACGTTTTTAGGCAATGGGCGGTGCCTTGCCTGCGCCTACTGGAGGTACAGAGCCAGACCCAGCTATGATAGACGCTATAAGGAAGCAGTATGAGGAAGAGATAGAGGCAAACAAAAGGGCTATGGAAGAGATGACAGTACGTCGTTTCTTCACAAATGCCTCCCTGAATTAGGGAGTTGCGTTCCAAGTTTTCGTAGGTCTCTGACGTGGTATTTTATGGATACGCACTGCGGAAGCAGAACATACTCACTTCAGTGAAATACAGATCATGGCTCTCCAGGTCTCTTATTATTCAGATGTCGTGGCAGCAAAAAGTGGAGGAGGAGAAAAAAAGGGCAGCAGCTACTAGGAAGCCGGAGGAGCAGGCTGAGCTGACACTCCCTACACTACAAAATCTCAACGAAGATCCATTCCTAACTGGGAAAATAATTTGCGTCATTAAGGAAGGCACGAGTACATTTGGCAAAGCCGATGGAGAGGAAGCGCCGACCTTCCGTATCGGTGGCTTGGGCGTGGTAGCAGGGCACGCTACAGTGACTTGTAAAAAAATACAGAACGACGCAGAGGATCCAGAAGACATAGTTTACAACGTCGTCCTGATGGCCACAGGGAAGACAATGGTAAATGGGACTGAACTGCAGGAAGGAGAGCAACGACAACTGCAACACAAGGATAGGATATTATTTGGGCACAACAACCTCTATGTATATGTTGACCCCCTGGATATGGATAAGACCATGCCATCGTGGGAAGAAGCAATGAAAGAAGTGAAGAAGGATCAGATGGAAGCATATGGCCAGACACTTCGCACTGAAGAGGAAGTGGAGAGAGAGAAAAAATTCCGGGAAACACTCAAAGAGCTAGAAGTTGAAAAGAAAGCTCTAGAGCAGGAGAGGCAGGCGCTGCTCAAAAGACTGGAGCAGAAGGAGCAAGAGTTACTTGCAAGCGGCGAAACGCAGGAGGTGATACAGACCAAGCTTAAAGCCCTACAAGAGGAGAAACAAGAAATCGAGCGGCAGTTGCAAAACAAGCAGGACGAACTAAGCGCACGTGAACTTAGGCTTAAAAAGGAAAAAGCAGAAGAGGAGGCGAGGAAAGAGGAGGAAAGAGCCGCTCGAATTGAGCTAGATGAAATAATGACAAGAACATCATTACTAGTAGACGAGGCAAATATGATTGCACAAGAACTAGGCGTTGGGGCTTTCTTTTCTCCGAAACTCACAATGCGCGGAGACGCTGTAGGGAGGGGCGCAAGAGCAACCCTTGGTGGTACTGTAATGCAAAGGCTAGAAATTATGATTAGAGTTGACAGAATGGATTCAGATATTACTCAGCTATGGCCATTAGATCTATTTGAAAGAAAGGTGTTCGAGATGCGAGAAATCTATGCTAATTGGTCTCCGGAGCCAGGACAGCCGTTGATTCTACCTGATAATATGGCAGATCCCTTCGCACCTGATCCCGAGTCGCACCAGGTTCGATAGCGCACTTCACCTGCGCTGCAGAATTAAAATTTTAGCATAAAGACATTTTGCCGCATGTTGGTGTTTAGCACTCGGTCGAAACAACAGGTCGCATTCTGTTTAGATTTTATTATGTCCCCTTTCCGCTGAAAGTCTGAGCATCATGCAATCGGGTTACTTGGGCTATTATTTCGTAGGTTGTGGGACAAGCGTACGTGTATCTTGAGACAATCAGAAGCCTGCTGCCAATAGAACAAGAGCCGTTCCCTATTTTCGATTCTAAGGGACAGAAGCAGGGAACTCTTGTGGTATCGATTGATATTCAAGTCGGACCACCAAGAGCTGACATCGAAGGGTAAGCATTGCAGTATTAAAATATATGGCATACTTTATTATGCTGATAACTGACATTATCTGATGGCATGCTTAAATAACGAGTTTTGTTGATTGCTATCTCCCAGTTCATGCAGTGCCAGTGTTTTCTATCACGGGAAGCGGCAGATTCATGCTTGAATAACGAGTTTTGTTCTCCCAGATCACGCAGTGCCAGTGTGATCTATCATGGAATGCAACCGTTTCACATTCATGGAATGAGCAAGGCTTATTATTTGCGCCTAGGGAGGACGAATTGGTAGCTAGGCGCCTAGAAGATATTGATGACTTCGATTCAGTTGAAGACGTTAGAGGGCGAGTGCTGACGATTACAATCACTGTGCACTCTGCAAACAATTTGCCCGAAAGGTCCTGCAGGCATCCACAAGTGAGAAAGCTACTTAATGTATCAGTACTGCAGATACTGTACACTGTCATCGGGTTGTTTGGATGAAATTGTGGTAGCGGTGGCGCTCGCAGACTGCTGCTTTGGTGGCGACAAGCTGGCATTAAGCCAATGGTCACAACCTGTTTTGGATTCCAGGTGCTCATGGTAACTGAGCACTTTTGATCCCATAACGCGTGGCTGCTTTATACGTTGCATTCTCGTACGTATGAAACACAGGTGTTGTACCGTTGGCTCGATGGAATGACAGAAGTCTCTGCAATTTCCCTTGAAGAGTCTAGTCGCGATGTCGTTTTCAATAGCTCCAGGGTGAGCAGGCTTTCTTTGAGAATTCTCATCAGTGTTCATTTGAGGAGAGACAATATACACGGCTAATAAGACTCAAACAGGGTGTACCAGACTTTAAACAGCGATCCCACTGCACGCAGTACAATTAAAATAATTTGATATGAGTAGTGCCTTTTGGGAGGGCAAAGCTGTATATATGCTCCAGCTTGACCACTGCAGTTGTCCATGTGATGCACAAAACAAAAGGACATAAGCACGCTTTACCCTTTCGACAAATACCACTGGCCATTTGCTTGTTGTTCAGGAGTTTACTCTTGATGCTAATGAGGTTGTCGTTGAGTGGCTTTCTGGCGTCCTGGTATTTGAAGTCAGTGGGAAGTTTGTGGACAAGACAGGGAAAGGCAAGGGTGAAAAAGGATTAGGGGTGCAGAAGCTCGAAGAGGAACTGAAGGAAAAGAAAGTTCTGCTGCAAAAAATCGAAGCAGCACTTAAAATGCAGGGCAATTCGCTTCAAGAATTACTACAAAAGGCCGGAATCGACCCAAAAAGCATAAGTGCGGAAGGGCCTGCAAGAGATGAAGGGGAGAAAAGGAAAGAAAGGAAGACCACGGACCAGAAAGAGGAAGAAAAAGGAAATACTGCCACGGATAGTGTGCCTTCAGTTTCTTTTGAAGCTCAGCAAAGCAATGATGCCTACCAAAAGGCCCCAGATATGCCTCTTGGGGAAATCAGCCAACACGGAGCTTCTAGCCCGACTGATGGTGGAACTGATCTGCAAAATATAGAAGGACAAAAGACTTCAGGAGAAACCGCAGAAGGCCAAGATTCAGCTGCAAATGAGGCCAAGACAGCAAGACACGACACAGTTGATGCGAGGAGTCCTGGGGATGCCGGAGGAAGTGTAGCAGAGCTCATACCAACAGCACCCACCGATCCAATGGAATCAACTGAAGAGAAATCACCTGAAGCAGCGGATTCTCCAGAGCAGCATCCACCGACAGTACAGGCAGAAGAAATGACAGCCAATGATGGAGCCCAAGAAACGGGCTAGCGCAGGAAATGATGTCATGCTGGAACATGCGTGGTGGGACAACTTCAGAGTCAAATTTGAGTTTTTTTGTTGATAGGAAGCTGCTTACCAGTCCATTGCTATGGTGAGCTCTACGGTGTTCATATTGGCAATGAAATGCTCTATGCGTTGAAGTTCGCAAGTATGCAATACTAAGCGAACTCCGTCACGCCATGAGAGGACACCAGTTTCCGTCAGGGCTTGAAAAAGTCTTGTCCTTCCATTCGGCATTTTCTGCATCCTGTCTTTAAACCATTATCGAAGAGTGAGACTGCGGGATTCTGCTGAACTTCGCAGCCGCTAAGGATCATTTACAGTCCTTATAAATGCAGGTTTGGCGCTTCACGTCATGCGTCTTTCCTACATTGGTCTCTTGACGTGTTAGTTGAAGATTTAGGGTCTGCCTGGAAGTTGTCAAGATTGCATGCTGTCTCTACACAAGAGTTTGTTTGTTTCCTGTCTTCAAGGCTTTTCCCTAGAGAAATAGCATTACAAGGAGGAATTTGGCGCAGTTCGTATTTATCCGCTTAGCATATCATTACCTCAAAGTACTGCTGCTGGTAGAGGAAGATGCATCCGTTTTACGCAAACAATGGAATTAAACACAAGCAACTGGAGTAAATGTCCCGAGTTGCTCCACTGGCTCAAACTGCAGAAGATGCAGCGAGCATCTCGCCTTCACATTCACTTTGTGCCATGCATATGTAGCTATTCGTCGCTACATTTGACATGCAAGCTAGTATTGTGCCATTGCATAAGCATCGGACTGCCAATGAAGCATTCTAAAGCTCCGTATATATATTGTTGAATACCTATGCTATAAAAGGAAAGGGGAACTGCGGGGATCAGATATGAGACAATGTTATGTGGATTCTTATTCGCGTGCTTTTGAATAAATGTTGTTCACTCAATACAGCGGTATACTTCCATTGATATAAACTGCAATGCTGTATATCAAGAGGACTCTTCAGTGCCTACTTTCTGTGTCTGAAACTCCTCGAATTTTCCTGATAATGTGGAGTCTCACACACAGCTGCAGAGCCAGTTCTGCTGCAGGGACACCAGGCCGGAAATGCCCACCCGTTTCTACCAGGGCGCGCTGCAACATTTGGCGAAAACGTAATGGCCTCCAGCAGTCTGTAGATGTCTAATAGATTTCATAAAAGTGCATGTATAATACATTTCATAAAATTCTAGAAGAGGATAATTAGACTATGGGTCCAAGCGTGATTGAATTGAGACGTTTCCGAAATTTACGTGATTTACAGCTATGCACCAAGTAGCAGCTGATAACCAACAAAACTCATTTATAAAAGAGAATAGAAGAAAACGAGGCAGGCTTCAAGTAGCAAGTGAATTGCAAGTTGCAGTCCCAACCTTATTCTCCAGCGAAGCACCGACTCACAAAAGCACAGCACTGGAGTTTAACGCGTTTCCAACAGAGGTCTTAGCTGTGGCTATTTCCCTCCTCCTCGGAGCTGCTACTCTCATTTTGAGCCATCGCAGGCGCCAAGAATTTCTGGAGCTCAAGTCGATCTACTCCCGTGAACTGCACGGATTGCCCTCTGCGTCTTGGTGGCTCCGGTGAATCTGGCTGACAAGCCTCAGCAGTAGATTGCCGTTGCAACCGATGTGCCAAGGGAGCGATCAAAAGGCTTCTACGTGGAGGCGGCGGTACCAAGCAAGACTGAGGGGCACGCATGCTTGAGCGTCTCGGAGCTGTAACAGCTGGTGGCTCTTGGCCCTGACCAGCCTGATCGGCGGTAAGGTGGGAATCTACCGCCGCGCCTTCCGGAAACCTCGACACAGCGCTAGCCCGCGAAGCAGAGAGCCGGGAGGCTGCAGCAGCTGCGGCAAGTGCCATCTCTGCGTCTGGCTCAGTAGTAGCAGCTTCGCCGACATCATCGTCCTCACCCGAAGAAGTCTCCCGTGTACTCTGTTTTCTCAAGGAAGTAGTATTGTCTTGGTGAAGCTCTGCATTCAGCTCCTTCTCATACAGGTCTGACTGCCTGTCACTTTGCCCTGCTTGACCCCCTTCCAGTAAATCTGTTATGCACTCGCTAGCTTCACTGCGGTGCAATAGCGATCTCTGTCGTTGCCTCTGTTCCTCCTGGGTAAGGCGTTCCTCTTCAGGCACCGACTGACACTGCGAATGCAGATAATCTGCCTGTTGGGTCAGTCTTTTGTCTTGGTTTCCCGAACGCTTTCCACAACAAGCGCTCTTTAGAGCATTTTTCAGCTTTGCTCCGAGCCCTCGAGGGACCTTGTGGTCTCGAGCAAATGTTCCTACACGAGTCAACACAGTAGCCCTTTGGACGAAGGATCCGCCATTTTTACTCAGCCGCTTCCGGCGAAGAGTACTGCGCCGGCTTTCACCTTTGGATTGTTTGTGAGCACAAAGGGGTCCTGCTTTTTCAAGAAGAAACAACAGGTGCTTCATATACATGAGCTGGTTGGACGCAGTGTTACTTTGCAGTAGCCTGTTTGTCCGCCAGAAAGCTTGAATCTTCAGCGCCGCCAAGTACTGAAGGATGTCAAACTCCGGTTTGACTGCAGAAGCGTCACTGAAATGACTCATCCACGAATAAACAAGCCTCGGATTCAGCTCTACCTTCTGCGGCCCCTGAGATGGGTCAGACGCTGTAGGGGTCTCTCTACGCTGAGCATGGGCTTCGCACGCAAGGCATGCTGTATTAAGCACCATATCTCTGATGTGCACACTGTTGTTGTGCACAGGAAGCGGATAAGCAGCTAAGTGAGCAAGAATTGCGTGCATCCGGCGACAGCCTAAGTCAATATAGAGGTTCTTGAAACCTATTGGAGGTTGTATTTCGTTCAACACCTGTAGCGCTACATGAATCGGCAGCCAACTGAGCTTCATTTCGCGTAAGCGCCACTTATTCAGCAGATCTTGGTGCTCCTGCGCAACCTTCCATAGTTCCTGGTTTCGCTTTGCGTCGACGTAGCCCTTCAGGACAGCGCTTGTGAATACATTCATCAGCAGGAAGAAGACCAGGGCAACAAAACTAATAACGTAGCCCATAAGGACCCACGCCAACAGTACCATATCAGTTTCATAGTAGTAGGTACGCCCTTGGAGCATAATATCATGCCAATTTTCTCCCGTGGAACACGAAAGAAGAAGCACGATTGTGTCCAAAAAGGATTCAAAGGAAAGGTGCAGTTTTGGGTCGTATGGAACGTCGTGGAATAAACATGTCCCAATTAATGTGTACACGAGGACGGTAAACCCGAAAAAGAAAAGGGCGCGACGAAGTGAAGCGAACATATTAAACAAGCTGATAGAGAGAACACGCATTCCTGGAAGATAATTGCATGCAACATAAGCAACTCGAATCATCCTGAAAGCAACGGGCCAAAGTGGCTCGGCAGGAAAGGCAGTATCCAGCGAAGTTGAAAGACCCCAAATCAAAGCTATTAAAGAGATGAATGCATTGGCCAGGTCCACAATGAAGATTGGTTTTTCAAACAAAGATCTTCCTAGCACCACGAGCCTTATACACTGCTCTAGGACGTACCCAATAACAATGGCAGCATTGAACCAAAAAATCCAAAGCTGGAACTCAGGAAAGTGCCACCTGATATCCGCCTCAGCCCATGCTCCTGCTGCTAACATTGTCACACAGGATGCTGCGGAAACTAACGCTATTGCAACGTCGACCTTCTTGTCCGTAATGATCCGAGCCATCAAGCTTCCACTTCCTAGTCCTTTACTCCTCACGGAACCGCCGTTCCGGCCTAAAATTCCTTCGATCGAGGCAGAGCTAAAAATAGCTCGTTGCATTTCATTCCAACGAAGTACTGTTGCGCTTCTGACACCTCCGGTGTATTCCAGTGTCTCCTGTTCTTGATCTAGAACATCCACAAGGATGCCCACAAACAAATTCATGACAAAGATGCTGAGCAGCGAAACTACAAGGGCGCAAAGAATAATGGTCAGACATTGGTGACGCTCTCCAAGATCTAGAAATGAAATCAGTATGCGGGGCCAGTCCTCAGCAGTAGTTAGGATAAACACACTCAAGAAACTTTCGCCGAGAGAAGTGAGGTTAGCGGTGGCCAAAGGCACGGCTGGAGGGTCACCCGCTACAGGTTGCAGCAAAAGCCGAAATCCTAAGGCAAAGAACGTGACAATCAAGATAAATATGAAGCCCAAACTAAAAATTTTGTTTCCAGCGGAAAGCATTGCTAGCGCCAACCTGTGGATGCCTGTGTTCTTTAAGAGGCGGAGGAGCCAGACACATCGAAGGACGCGAGCACACTGAGCAAATCTAAACCATACACACCGAACCATTACACCGTTTGTACCGCTGCTGCTTAATAGGAGGGAAGCAGTTAAAAAACACCAGGACATCAACTGAAGTACTGACTCGTAGCAATTAAAGCGAGAATAAAAAAACGGAGAGCTTTTTCCCATGACCCCAATGACAATTCTCATGAATATATCAACCGTGAGTGCAACTTGGGCCCCGAGTTCGATGTAGACGAATGTTCGCCATACTGTTGTGTCTTTCTTCATGCAGCAATCTGCTATGAGCTCCCCAAGCGATAGGAAGTGCAAAAGTAGCCGAATCCAGCCAATCCCACTGATTCCACAGACGTCGCGAATATGTGCCGTAAATGCACGCCAGACTGTATATACGGTCTGAAGGCAAGAGGGAAGCTGCTGGCTACTTTGGGGTTTCGCATGAGCTTCCGCGAAACGTTTTTGAAACGTAAATCCTCCACTTGAGCCTGGCTTCGCCCTTATTTCGGTGATTGTTCCAAATTCTGAGCCGTTCGATTCCTTGTTATCAAGCTGGCGTGCTTGGCCAGACGGTTGTTGGTAGAGTACTTCACAGTCTGCCCTCACCATGTGGCCCGCATACGCTATATGCAAGAATGGACTGTCTGGATCCACCGGAGTAATCCGTTCTATTACAGCAGCTGCACCTGCCCGCAGTGCAATGCGGCCTTGCTTCATTACCTCCTTGATCGCAGCCCAGAACATGGTACAAAGCTCGCCAATCGACAGCTCCTCCTCGCGCAAATCATGCATCGCTGCAAAAAACAAAAGAGCGCCAAGACGCAACCTTTGTTCTCGAGGTCTCAAACTGTGTAGAAAATTTTCGTTGGCACAACGTACACAGGGGCCATGCTCAGTGTCCACAACTCAGTGGCAGCATTGACATTAGGCCTCCTGAAGTATAAACGTTGGACAAGCAGAAGAACTTTATTTCTTTTAAGTAACAAATAGTCTCCCGCAAAAGTTTCAACTTTACATACTGGATGACGCTGCCCTCGAACCTCCATGTGGAATTGCCAGAAATACAGTATGGTCGTCTGCAGCAAACTTAACTGCTGCCTTATTTGTTATTTCCATCTGCATGAAATCGTCCAGAAATGGCAGTCCACTTGGTTCTCCTCCCTTCCGGAATGCGGTAGAAGCCTTGCTTCCGTTGGTTTCTGATGTTGAACTCGATTCTTGCGTGGTTCCTTCGGTATTTATACCTCCCGCTTCCTCAGGTCGTTTTGACAGTCCACGTTCGGTCATAACTTTGTCAAACGCTATTTCACCGATTAGCTCTCTTTTCTGCGGCTTTGACATGGCTGAAATGCAACTATTGCTGCGACTGCCGCCCTTGTCTGCCCCCAAAACCTGACTGTTAGAGTTCGCTTTAGAGGCCATGCGACTGCTTTTCCTCGCAACTGTCTTGCAAATATCCAAGACAATGGAAGTCTTACGCGCAAATTCATCCAATGCCTTAGCAGACTTTGCGTGGTCTGCGCCTGAAACGGAGTGGAAAGAGGAAGCAGTTAAGTAATCTTAAACTAACCTCAACTATTTCAACTGAACCTTAGCCTACGGTACTAGTTTAAGGATAAAGAAGTGCTACAGCGGGCTCCTCAGAAACGAGGAACGTGATGTACGGTATTAAAGGAAAACACCCCACCGGTGGTAATAGCCTTTATTAACTCGTCTCGTTCTGCAACTGTTGCCATGTTGGCTTGTGTGTAAAGTGCTTGAGCATTTTCTCCTTGGAGTGCGTCAGCCGCTGGCATCGCAATCCCTGCAATGCGACAGGTAGAGATGAACCTAGCAGCGTACTTGACGCTGAGAGCTTTCTGTGTCTGGGTAAATTGGCCAATCATAATGGCACCGTAGAGATTGAAAATCAGGCAGTTCAAAAACAAAACCGAAAAGAAAAGAAAAGTGTTGATGGCTGTCACTCGAGATGGCGCAGACAGAATTTTATCTGACAGCTTGTGGGAGTCAAAAGTAAGACTCTCCAATTCTCCGCTGTACACTTGATCTATTTCTTTGACGAAAACGTCCCAAGCCTCTCCAGTAAAAATAGTCAACAGTAGCAGAAGCGAGTTGCCGGCATTTTCAAAATTGAAGTACTTCGTTAAGTTAAGAGAAACAGTCCCTGCATGCGTAGACACGTACTTCGGATCGAAAAAGAGAAACAAGCCGAGTTGTGCCACCACAGCGCAACAATAGATAATCAGGAGGATGTAGGGTAATAACGTGTTGTGCAACGTAAGCAGTAACTCAGCCGTTAGCCTCAATGAAGAGAAAAACTTGAGCAGCTTAAAGATTCGCAAAGGTCGCACCAATGACAAGACAACGGCCACTGTCCCTAACACTCCTTCGATCTTCACAATCGAAGACCTGCACCCTACAATCTCCGAGCATAATAATAATGCAAAGAATCCATCTATCACGGCAAGAATCGCAGCTAAGATGTCCAAACAAAGGAATCCGTCCTCCATGCATCGTTTTCCGAAAGCTAGTAACAACACTATTGCTTCAAGCACAAATGCTGAACTTGAAAGGAGGTCCAATACGCTAAGCACCACACTGGTAGCATTGTCAGTGTGAGCGAACATGCAAATTATATCAAGGACAACTAGAACTAGCATTGCTACAGAAAAGAACTTGTTGGTGGCCAAACGGAAGGCATAGCCCTTAAGTTCCATGAAAAGAAAGCGAAGGCGATTTTGTATTTCTGGAAACCTTATTTCAAGCTCCCTGATGACCCGCCGGCATAGAGTCCTCCAGTGGCCACTACACATTCGCTTTATTTTCGCCAAGAAGCCGACGTCAGTTTGCGCCGTTGTATCTTCGATCTCCAACGATGATGGCGGTATATGTTCACTTATGCAGTTCTTTTTCTGGTCGAGCTCTACCATCAGATACTTAATCCAGTCTGTTCCTAACAGCTGGTAGACTCTCCATTCAGACTCTTTGAGAATAGCGGGGCGTGTGGGTGCCTCAGAATGGTGTCTGTCAAAAGCTTCCCAAAGCACTGCTATGGCCAAGTTCATTAGAAGCATGCCGCCAATGATCACCATTACTGGAAAAGCAGTGTAAATTACCAGGCCGTCGCTCCGCGAATCCCCATTAGCTTGAGTTTGCATTGTGAAAGCCCATCCTTCTAAAGTGAATCCCTGAAGCAAGGTAACTGCCGCGGCGCCTAGAGTTTGAACACCAATAACTCCGAAGCCCACTTCTTCATTTGCCTGCATCTCATCCCAAGCCCTCTCTTGAAGGCGTCTGCGCTCTTCAGGGCTGCAAGAAGAAGTGACAGAGTGAAGGAAGATATTACGGCATTGTGTGCCTTCCTTGCAAGGAGACTTACGCGTAGAGCAAAATTTAAATTGCGACTCATCGAGATCCCAGTAGAAACTGTCAGCAGAGCATGAATCGCTTGCTTGTACTTCCGGTGGTAAGGATAGCTCTGGGTAGCAGCGATACCAGCAGGTAAAGCCATAGAAGTGCAGTAGCACAATGAGTACTAATACTGAGAACGTCAGTACGAAGATGCATACTGCTGCTAAATCGTTTGCGCTGCTGCCCAACTGCCTGATTGCCGAGCGAAACGTTCGACAAATCCTCAAGAGAGACCAAGCACGCAAATTTCTCAGAACAGGCAGTACTACGAGAGAAGCTGGTGTGTATATCCACCAACCCGAGAACACTCCTATCCGGTATATTAGATCTGCCGTAACGTCTATCAAAACAAGTGAATCAAGCCATCCTGACCATGTTCGGCAGTAAGCACGCCTGCTTGACCACAGGCCCCGCGAGCATGCTCCTGTGACCACGGTGCAAATAAAACCAAGAAACAACAGGATATGACTTGTCAAGACAAGGGCCGGAGATGCAGCGTTCGTTGCGTCAAAAGCATTTCCAAGGCAATCAAATAAGACAGTAAAAGCAAGCAAAACCCTTGAGAGGCGCGCATTCCGCACTTTGTAACAGAATAGAGCAAATGAACCTCTAGCCGTCGCCAACTCGAGATTAGCTAGGGCCACTGTTGTACTGGTGGAGAGCAGAGAACTGAGTGCGCGGCTACGGCAGCTGCTGAGACGCGCTTCGGTACGCTCCGTTCCCTGAGTTACGCTACTGGCTTCATGTGAAATATCCATGTTGGCTGCTGGATTTCTTTCCCCAGCTTGGAGAGATCGCCTGCTGCTGGACTCCATAATGCAGCTTGCCCGCCGCGGGGGAGTAACACAGCTGTCTTGTAGGATATCAAAATTTTCCGTTATGCGAAAATGCTCGTGGCCCGTTATCCTCTACTCATTTTGCGCGGTGCCTGCTGTGGTCTCGTCCACTGGTCAGCGAAAAGCTTGCCACCAGGGGCTACCGCTACGTCTTACCGAGGTCATCGTTAGTCTTAATGTATTTGCTCCGCAAGAAAATAAGTTAAGAATTCTTTAAACGCCGCGTTTGGGCTGCTGTTTGCCGGCCCGTTTCCCTATCAAGAGTCCCTCAGGTGACCCTTAGGACTTTCACAGCAGGTGAGAGTGTTGATCGCGAGCCATGACAGCCATTGAGAAATGGATTCCGAAATATTGTTCTACTGTTTTCTGGAAATTAACTGGAACTGGAGACTTTTTGCTCGCTACTGAACTGCTTCTAACACTGTCAAGTACGAACCTCTTTCTTGGCGGCTCACTGAAGGGATCTTCCGCCGCTGTAACCCTCACATTTAAAAGCCCTTCTGACCAGGGTCCATTTAAACTTCAGATTTTAATACTTGCGAGCCCCAACAGCTCTAAGAATTCTGTAGTAGTTCAACTCGGATACCGAGACAACCCGGCCTACAACGGGGCTGCCCGCATGGTTCAAAACTAAAAGATGGCAGGCTTCATCTTAGATAATTCCACTGTACAGGAAAAGCATTTTTCTTAACTTAAGGCTGCCTCATTGATGTTGTTAACGGCTGCTACGGGCTGCTCACGCGTGAGAACAGAAGTGAGTTCGGGGTGTGCCGAGACAAGAACGGCGAGTGCAGTGCAAGCCCAGCTTACTGACGAAGCCCATGTTGTGTTCCTGTTAGCAAATAGAGAAGTATTTTAAGGGCTCTTCCAGGGCTGCACAGAATACGTTTTGGCAAAGGCTCTGGCATTCTGATATGGCCATGAGCCCCAAGCCCCTTGCTACCCTCAACTGTCCCCTTGCTCGTCCCCCCGTACATGAGAGTTTCTAGGCTTCAGCTTGTCACTCTTAGTGCGCCCTACTTTTTTCGTGTTAGGAGATGGGTTAAAAATTATAATTAGGTTGGAAATTGTTGTAGTAATGACTACCGATATTCACATTCGGACCGTCACACTTTAGTAGCATTTCCTCCCGATCACGAATAATCCCTTCGGTAGTCATTTCGTTCCTCCTATTTTTGTTACATACGAAATGCAGCAAACCTGTACCTCGTGTACTTGGCCAGTTCATCGTAACAAAAGAAAAGGAGCCAAGAGCAAGACGTTTTTCTAGGCATCAATACTGGGGCCCTCCAAGCCGATGCATTCTTGCAAGTATGGCTATAGCGAAGGTGGCTATAGACCACGCTGAACCTGCCGGATTAAAGAGACTTCTACTCCAACGGATTTATGCTATTCTAAAGCTACTTTGTAAGTTGATGTGACCGACAACGAAATTTCATATGTCGGAGGCTGCCTTTGGGAGCCAAACGAAGCGAAACACAGTGGCTGCTCTACATAGAAGATTGTCTCCAGCTGCAGAGATAAGCGACAGGAAAAGGTAATTTATAAATTTGTGTCTGTGAATAAAAGAAAGGGAGAGCTACGGCGAGGGGCGAAATTAACAATCGTTTAACTGAGGTGATAGCAGAAATTCAGAAGGCAGCTTTGGCGTTGGGGAAACAATGCCATAATACAGCTGCAAAAGCTTGAAATTCAAGGACGCGGTAAACAAATTTATTTTAGTTTTTAACAACTCCAGATCAGTGATATTAGGTTCCGGATTTGAGTCCTACTTCTTCATAAATGAAATATGAAATCATCGTCTAACGTAAGCGTACAAAGGACAAAAAATGGCAGTTTTACTGTAAACGAAAGATCGAAGCAGAAGAAAGAGGAAGCCCCATGGTTTAAATGTAGATTTCAGGCTTTCAAGCACTTGCTGGGTGAAGCCAGAGCAGTGTACGAATGGACTTTATGACTTCACTTTGAACTTCGCAGCAGACCCCATGACAAAGCCTTGACAGGGGTCCAAAAAGACATATAGAAAGTTACTTTCACAGTGCATTACTGGTGCTGCAGGGATTCGCATCTGAGCACTTCATTCCCGACACGGAAAATTTCTCAGGAGCTGCTGTTTCGTATGTTTCTGGCACGCCTGGGTGCGGCATTCCTCTGTTGAGGGAGCAATTCAACATTCCCTCGCAACAGGAAAGCTGCATGCAAAACAGTGCAGTGGGTGCAGACTGTTCGGTGTATGGACCGCAGTTTGAATTTGTAGCTGACACTGGCTTCAAAAGCTTTCTTGGTGCATTTCCTCGCAGATCAGTTTCCCCTAAAGCATTCTCATGAGGTCACGAGGAGGCGTATCCTCTTATGCTCTGGCATTGAAGGCTAAAAATTTGCAAAGGGAACACATTGAATGAGCAGCAAACTAAACCCACTTGCGAATAAAGCTATGTAGCAAAAATAGCTGTGAAAACTGCTCTCTGCTCACAAACTACCGGGCAAGAAGCAAAGGTCCACTGCAGGCCAGAACGAGACCAAAGTCTATGCTCGACGTAAACTCAGCTTGTCGGTGGTTGAAAAGCATGAAAAGCAAAAACCGATACAAAATGGTTCCTAGCGTGGCCCTGCCAATGTTCACTGCTGGTACGCCGATGTGAACGAGTGCTGTAGAAAAAGTCGTGCTCTGCGCACGACTAAATGCTGAAGCTGTGACCAGCGCCTTCAGTAGAAAACTTGATATGAAAAGTTTGATACACGGCTTTGAAATATAAAAGAAGTGAAATGATAGTGCCGCATTCATGCGGGCATTTTGCAGAAAGTAGTTGACTGGTCGCAGCTCTCTTTCAGATACTTGGTGTACTCATCCCAAATGATTACATGAGGGAAATGGACAGACAGACAATGCGACAAAATCGAGATTCATGCCTCCAAAAGATTAGGGAGCGTCATACAGATGCGTACACTAACTGGATGACGAGACCTCGGATGCCCGGGGCGTGCATACTGTTTGTATGGCGTATAGCCTTGGTGAATGCGTTTATACTGACTCAAATGTTTTGATAACGTGGCAACCCAATAAGAGTGCCACCTTCCAATTACATGCATTATTCAACTGCATATCGGGAAGCTGATCAGGTTGTGTCTGTGTGTCGCATAAGAAGACGGCACCTGACAAGTAGCACGAGCTCATGCAACACATACAGAGTTGTTCTTACAGACATTGTGGGCGGCCGACACGGTGAATTCTATGCCTTGTGGATACACCAAACCGGGTATGACTATACAGGGCATGCTGCCTATCAGATGGACTTGCCTGCACTGGCTATGGGTTCTCCCATAAGAGTAGGAAAATGCCATTAATTATAAACTAGACAAAAGCGTGTGCAGACAAGGCTGGAGAAAATAACAAAACTCTAAACCCTAAACCCTAAGCGGTAAACCCGAATTCCTAAACCCTTGACTGTGAAGGCTGAATCTTTGCATACCAAACCCTAAATAAATTGGAAAAAAGTGCGTAGGCATAGTTAGATAAAAGAACAAATCCTGTGGTTGAACATGCGCAGTACACTGCTTAGATTGGCCCTAAATCAAGTGACTCGTCCCACATTGTATCCCTCATGTGGGCGTAGATGCTTGTATGGTGACGTACGTCGTTATATTGCGGTGCAGTCTTGCCTGAATGAGCCGTTAGAGCGGCAGTGCTCTTGAAAGCTGGACATTCACTTGCGGACTGAAGTGTAGACCACTGGAACTTTCTGGCTTACTTCGAGCAGACATATGGGGGAATATTTGTATTCCTTGTCCCCATCTTAGCGACATTGGCCGCGTGCCTGTACACTTGTTGGAGTGTGCTTGCATCTTGCAGGAGTGGGATCTTGCGCTGCTTCCTCATTTCTGGCTCAAATCTGCCTCTCAAATAGTGTTTGCAAAATTTTTCTGGTGATAGGTTTTTGTGACTGGCTCACCAGCTCGCTCGCTGGAACCACTAAGTGGCAGCTAGTGTCCACTCTTGTCTAGGGGTTCCCAGCCACTGA